GGATGAAATCTATATCAACTTAATTACTTAATCGGCAGTTAAGTTACCTAACTTCGAACTTACTCATTGACTAAGTTTTACCATGCCTTTAACGTAGTCATTATGTTACCATACCTCCAACTTACTCATCGACTAAGTTACTTTTTTTTCTAACTCATCAAATAAGTTACCATACCTCTAACTTACACGTCGACCAAGATACTTTTTTCTCTAACTTATTCACTAAGATACCGCACCTCTTACTTACTCGTCAACAAAGCTACCATACCTCCAACTTACTCATCGACTAAGTTACTATATCTCTAACTCATCAACTAAGTTACCATACCTCTAACTTGTTAACTAAGCTACCATGCCTCTAACTTACTCATTTACCAAGTTACCATACTTCTAACTAACTCAGACTCATCGACCAAGTTACTCTACCTCTAACTTACCCGTCGACCAAGTTATCTCTAACTTATTAACTAAGCTACCTGAGACATCAAGTTACCATACATAACTTACTCACCAGTCAAGTTACTCTACCTCTAACTTATTAACTAAACTACCTGAGTCACAAGTTACCATACATAACTTATCAATCAAGTTACTCTACCTCTAACTTATTAACTAAGCTACCTGAGTCATCAAGTTACCAATCAAGTTTACTTCTAACTTATCAACTAAGCTCCCTGAGTCTGACCAAGTTACCAATACATAACTTACTCACAACTAAGTTACTATACTTCTAACTTATTATCAACTAAACTACCTGAGTCACCAAGTTACCATACATAACTTACTCATCTAAACTCAACGTTAACTCTGCCTCTAAGCTTAATTAACTTATAACTAACCTTGAGTCAGCCAAGTTACCATACAATACTTACTCTACTAATTATCTACCTCTGACGTAATTGGTTGGATAGTAGAGGGAGTAATCGTAGGTCAGCCATGACTAAGCTGGAGGAGGCCAGCTGGGTCGGGCACAGCTGGCGTGTTACTTCTCAACCACCTGTGAACAAAAGATATAAAGTACAGGATATAATAATGGTGTTGTTTTTTGTTGTTGTGTTGTTGTGTGTTGTTCGTTGTTAGGTTGTTCTTACGGAATCGCTGCAGTTGTTTATTACATTTTATATCGGTTTTATTTGCAATGGCGATATCTGGCAATAATATCAGTAATGATAATACTAGTGGATATTTTGTGATAATAATATAATCAACATTAATCAATAAACAACATACCAATAATAATAATAATGAGATAATGATATGATGAATGATACATGATATAATAATTATGATAATAATGATGTTGATGATGAAATGATAATATATAATGATAATAATGAATGATGTATGATAATAAGTAATGAATGATGATAATGATAATAAATAATATAATAAATGATAATGATAATAATAATAATAATGACAAATAATGATGATGATAATATAATAATAATGATAATAATAGATGATAATAATAATGATAATAATAATGATAATGATAATACACTACTATACTACTACTAATATAATAATAATATAATAAATAATAATATAATAATAATAATGATAAGAATAAGAAGAAGAAGAAGAGAAAAAGAAAAAGAAGAACAATTAAATCAAACAACATCTTTGTATTCGTGTCAGCGCTTTTATATAACATCTTTGTTTTTTATACAGCAACACCTTGATATAACAGTCAGTGGCCTCTTTTGCAAATCTGATAAACGCCAAAGCATGTGTGATTTTGCACAAATGTGTGTCTGTATGTACGTTCGCTCCTGTGTGTAATTTTGTGTATGTGCGTGTCATTTTTGCGCTAATATGATTGCTTATGTGCTCAAATATGTGGATGTGGATGTGTGTGGGTCATTAAGAATTAACATACTCTCATCATTCATTTAACTATCTACATTTATCCACTCATAACTATTCATTAAATCCATCCTTGATAACTATCCACATCCATCCTTGATAACTATCCACATCCATCCATGATAACTATCCACATCATAACTATCCACATCCATCCACCATAACTATCCACCTCCAACCCACCCTAACTACACAACCCTCATCCCCCCCTCCCACCCACCTAACCCAACCACACCTCCCACATCCACTTTCACCTCCAACCAATCCACGATAACTATCCACACCTCCACCCACGCTAATACCCCTCCACCCACCCTAACCAATCCACTTTCAACCCCCCCCCCACCCACCCCATCCCCTCCCACCTCTCCTCACCTCCTTGAAATCCACTGGTACTGACGCACTCCAGGTACTTCCGCCGTGTGTGGATCCCTCGGAATGGTAAGGCTCTTGACCTGGTCCGAGGTCAGGTTGAGCCCGGCGAGGTCAGGCGGCGGCGCGCACCAGTGAGGCGGGGTCAAGGTCATGAAGAACTGGCCGAAGTACACGAAGACTAAGAAAGTGTTCATGAGGCAGTTGATCCAAAATAACATCTGGAAAGAGAGAGGAAGAGAATGAGAGATAGAGAGAA